ACTGTAGCTTTGGATTGGCTTGAGTACTCTTATGTCTTATTATCCACTGTGCAAACATGCTTAGATACCGAACCTATTAATGAAGTGAAACTTATATCTTTAGGCTCTGGGTATTTTATGCACTTCAGCACTGGCAGAGCCAATACTGGGGACAAAGCTCTGCTGGAAAGTAGATTGCTTTACCCCAAAAGAGGCTACCAATGTCTGCAGTTCTTCTATTACAACAGTGCTGGGCCCAGTGACACACTGAAGGTCTATGTCAGAGAGTATGACAAAGCTAACCCCAATGGAAGTCTGCGCCTTATAAAGACCATAGAAGGTGACATTTTTGGAAATCTTACTTCTGTTCACAATCTACTGTCAGAATATTGCTTGAAATATCAGGTTTGTACACTTGCTTTTTAATACATTCAGTGCATTTACCTCATGTGCCATAACAGGGTCCCCTCAGGAGCTTTGGCAACTGCACCACGTCAGTCTAGATGCTAAAATGAAATTCCGCGTAGTCTTTGAAGGGACCAAAGTGGAAGCTGGGCCCCCATCAGGTGGACAGTCTTTGGATGACATCAACGTTTCAGAGACCACCTGCCCAGAATTTATTTGGAGAGTTAAAAACTTCAGTCATGTTATGGAAAACACCCCAATAAACACACCTATATTTAGCCCCCTATTCACCTCTAAAGAGGGTTATACCTTCCAAATGATGCTTTACCCCAGCGGTAGAGAGGGCTACCAGGGGCAGTTGTCAGCCTATGCTCATCTGGTGGCCCGTGAAGGGGACACAGGACAGATATGGCCATGTCCTTGGAAACAGATAACCATGATGCTAATGGACCAGCATCCACATATTCAAAAGCGCATGTCCAACCAGCGCAGCATCACCACTGACCCCAACATGAAGGCAGCAGGTGCAGTCATTTTAACTTTTTTCAAAAAGAGTCACAGAAATTGTTTGCAAATTACAAACAAATCATGAAATCATGGCTTTTTGCTGTATTACAATTTTTGCACTCTTTTAATATTCTTTTTAACAGGCTCTGATGAATTTTTCTGGGATGATCCTCGTAAGGTCGGCGTTGAGGTCACAGATACAGACGGATCAAAGTATTTCCGAGGGCCAGGCTATGGAACTGCAGCGTATCTCACCCATCTCAGAGCTAAAAGCAGAGATTTTATCAAGGGAGGAGATGCCATCTTCCTCCTCACCATGGAGGGTAAAAGCACCAGATATACAAGATTCATTTTAATTTTGTAAATGTACCATTTTTTTGTAAATCCGAACATATTCTGTAATGCTAATTCGGCAAGCCGCACAAGTAGGACTATGTAATTCGGCATACATGATCACATCTAGGATTTATTAACCCTCAGGTCAGGTCACAGCAGGTAATCCAAACAATTAGCTCTTTCACGTGGGTTTCTTTAACCTGCTGTCTCATTTGCTCCTCTTCTTCAGATGTGTCCCATTTAACTGTGAGCCAGCCCCTGCCTCCTACAACTTCACAGCCTGTCACCATCATACCTTCTGAAGTTTGCTACAATGTGCAATGCCAGAATGGCGGTGTCTGTGTCGTGGATGAAGGCAAACCTGCTTGCAGGTGAGCACTTTTGATGTCATCCACTATGCTAACTTCACGGCATTTACCAAAAAATGGACGTTAACACACTTTAATATTATATCAATGTGTTGTCCATTTTTGGCAACAGTTGAACACTTGTTTTAAGTGCACCTATTTAGAAAAAAGATTGAGAGGTGCTACTGAACCTCTCATATTGTGTTTTATATCACTGTGAACTAATTATGTCCTGTCAGCAAGCACATTAAGAGTGTCAAGCACTTGATTAGTTTGGACAGTCAAACAACCTGTTACACATCGGTCGGGGGTTCGATTTCCCTGAACAGCTACCCTGAGGTACCCCTGAGCAAGGTACCGTCCCTACACACTGCTCCCCGGGCGCCCAATGGCTGCCCTCTGCTTCACTGAGTGAATGGGTTAAATGCAGAGAGGGATTTTCCCCACGGGGACAAATAAAGTACACTTTCTTTCTTTCTCTAATTTCCACCATCACGATCAGCTACGTGGTGAATGCTGGGTAAACCTTCAAGTATGTTTTCTGTCTCTCATGTTCATCCTTTTCCTCTGGTGTCCAGGTGTGACGTGGGTGACGACTGGTGGTACTACGGGGACAGATGTCAGCACAGAGGGTCCAACAGTGACAAAACCACCCTTGCACTTGCCTCTTCTCTATCTGTACTGGCAGTAATGTTGGTAGTTACAGTAGTCAGTGTCATCTGCGTGAAGAAAAAGTATAAAAAACGCACGAATAATAATAATAATAACGGCGTCATCCTGAACTCACATGCTAGTTAGAGACTTCAAGAGGCAGACCCTGAACTTCACAATGACAACTTGGTGAACAGAAGAACACAGCAAAAACAAATAGTTGAAAATGTTTAAAAAAACATTTCCCTGCTAAATACTGTAAAAAACAAGGCTTTTGATGATATAGAAATAAGACTTTTGTATTCTGTACTGGATCAAAATATTACATTAGACTGCCCCTTACTGGTCATTCAGTGGAAACACAGCAGAGCGATGCATCATTATTAGTGTATCAAAAAAATTAATAAAAAATCATGATAACCTGATTTTATGTATGAATTCATTTGTTTAAAAACAGTCCTAGACAACATGAAGTATATTCACAAATTTAAAATTTATTATACCAAAGACAGGAACATTTGTGTTGTTTCTTTTCCATGTGGATATATTTGTTTGTATTACTGAACTTGACACAGTCATGCCGGTGATAACAGTTACTGTAGGAGGGAGGTGGGACTAATGTTAACCAAGTGTCTGTGTATGTGTGCTTGTATGCATGTCATGTCTGCATGGGTGTGTGTGTGCATGCAAAGATCGGTCTATTAGTGTTCAGTAGATGCAGTGATGACTACAAGACATCACAGTTGGAGTGGGGCAAACCAGAGCCACTTAGTGTAGTTATACTGCATGGAATGTTGGGTTTTCTGACCTGCTACTGCACATTTACATTTGTGTGTGTGTGTGTGTGTGTGTGTGTGTGTGTGTGTGGGCTTACACTGTAAGATAAAGGGGAAAGGGAGGGTGACACCTCCATAACTGCAAACAAACGCATCCTCCCCGCCACTAAAACCTTCACCGACATACAGTTCCTTTAAAAGCCTCAGTATACAACATTTCTCTTATTTACAATCATTGGAGAAAAAAAATCACCATTTCTCTCAGAGAAGATTAGTAAAAGTGACTGAGTCACCATAAAGAGTATGCAACTCCTAGGAGTTAGTATTGAAAATTTCTACAAAAAAATTTCTATGCCATTTTACAGGCCAAGAGCCATGATTTACTGAAGAAATACAGTATTGTAAGTGCCCTATCTACAACAGTTAGATGTGGTATTATTGGTGTACCATTCAACATAGTTCACTGATAATAAAAAGATTATGTGTCTCTGCTTTTAAAAAGTTCTTCCAGAAACTTCACTGCTTTCACATTAAAAGATATGGTAAGTTCTTTAAAAAACAAACAAACAAACCATTGAATTGTTATTTATATTAACAAGTGTTGTGGCAAGCTAATGCTATAGCAAAGAGACTAGTGTTGATTACATACTCAGCTGGTTGTCTAATGTAAAAAATAAATGTTCCACAGTCTGTGAGAAGGGCACGACCATGGACACTTGGAGCTGCGTCCATAGGCTTTTCAAGAGGATTGAGTATCATTAAAGGGCTCATTTGCTTGTTTTATTCTATAACTGGAGCGGTTACAGTGCATTTCTCTCCAATGACAGGGCTGCGTGGAGAAGAGAGACTACACAGAAAAAGCTTGATGAAACTTTTCAGTGTGCATTTTACAGCCTCTCGCCGAATCTCATTTGTTTGTGTCCATGTGTAGGAAAATCAGACCAGTTTAGTTCATGTAAAGAAGATGAGGCCAAAGTTGGTAATGCTGTTCAGAGAGGGGTGTCATAGTAGTCTGTGGGTTGATCTGTCCCAGCAGGCTTCTGCTGTTTCTGCTGATGCTGCTTCATGATTTCCTTCACCTCTTCCTCCAGCTCGGGTGGGATGATGAACTGGTCGTCTGGGTCAGGTTGGGCTGGAGCTGTGAAGTAACCCCCGGACTTCTTGGAGGGAGCATCAGCAGCCACCTCAATAAGGTTGTGGCTCTTTTCCTGCTGTGCCACGGACCCATTAACCCTTCTCTTGCCTGCTAGCTTCCCTCCATCCCCGCATCCCACTCCAGCTCCCGGCCATGACTCATCCCTTTCAAGCCCGTTCTCAGCCTCCCCTTGGCTCATGTCAATCCCCTCCTCTAGGGGCTCTGGGGTGCATGGTGGTGGAGGAGGTGGGGGAAGTGTGAGCAGGTTGCGTTCCTGACTGGAGGATGAGGGTACCGGTGTTTTGGGTGATGAGGACAAGCAGGACTGTGCTTTCAGGCAGTGAACATCTGCCTCTACTTCCACACGGCTACCGTTAGAGAAAACCCCAGCGATGGGCTCTTCATCCTCGCTGTCCAGCCCGTTGTCAGAAAGGGCGCTGGAGAAAGTGGCACTAGAGAGCTGCCTCTGAAAGGAGTGTGCTAAGCAGGCAGGGTGGAGGGCACAGCAGCTTCGGGATGAAGGCAGCTCTGAACCCGGGAAAAGATAGTGGCAGGGCTGGGTACTTGTGTGAGCCTGCTGGTGCTGTAGAGGCAGCAAGTGGGCCTGATGGTGCAAGTGAAGGTGAGGGTGGTGGGACTGCTCTTGCAGTAGGACCAAGGAGCTCTGTGGAGGTTCGTCCGATGAGGCGGTAGAGCCCACCTCACTGCTCATCTCACTGGTGCTAATCTCACTGCTAATTTCACTACAGGAGGAGGGGGGAACAGGGAGGGAGCCGTCTGAGGGTCTCTCCTTGATGGCAGAGGACGATGGAGGATAAGATCCCAAGCCTGGACTGGGAGGTGGCTGGGGAGGGTCAGAACAACAGCAGGAACAGCAGTCTTCACTCACATTGAGCTGCACAACGACGGCGCTGAGGCTGTCGGTGCAGCCGTAGCCCTGCGCCAATGTGCAAAGCTTTTTAGCAGCAGCCAGGCCATCGGGGACATTTCGAACAGCCTCCACCGCCTCTGTGGGGGACACAGCATCCCACAGGCCACGGCTACCGAGAATGAAGAACTCATCCTGAGGGGTTAGAGTGACTGTCTGCACATAGGGACAAGGGATGACAGAAGGGTAGAGGAAGGAGTAGCCCATGATTCGTGTAGAATCAGTTACACCGTTCACTTTGTTGTCCTGTGGAGAAAAGAAAAAAAGAAAGAGATACAAATCAATACAGTGTTCAGGCAGGATGCAAGTAATACTGCATTTACATGAATGTACTTTACACCAATTTTTCAGTACTCTGAAAAAAAAAAAGATCTCTACCTCAGTGATGATAGCTTTGTGCTGCCTGATCCTGCGGTATTCCTCCTCCAGCCCTACATTGTGAAGGAGTGACAGAGACAACGGCTTTCCATCACGGCACAGAATGGCCTGGCACTTTCCCACATTAGCAGCCGTGAGGGTGAAGCAGCCACCAGGGTCAGTGGGGTCATGGCGAATGTGACACAGCGCTGCCGAGCCACCCAGTTTCTGTCCTGCAGTTCCAAGCTTCCTGCAAGGGTGGAAGAAGGAAAGACGGGAAGAGGATGAGGTTTTTGAGGCAGAAATGAGAAATTTGTTACATACAGTGAAGACGAGGCATGTAGAATCTATTGCAAACCTTTGCATGACAAGGAAGGTGTTGGTCATATAGTCCTCTTCGCTCTTTGTCTTGTGAATTTCTTCCGCCAGCACATCATTCATTGTGCACTGCAGGAGGTAGGGCACCTCCACATTCCTGTCTCCATCAAACACACCATACAGAGCTTCACGACTCCCACAGAAGCTGTTTACCGAAAGGGCAGCAACACAGAGTCTGAAAGAGGAAAGAATGAGAGCTCTGAGGACCACAACTCCCCTGTGCAACTATTTATCATGTCACTCCATATGCTATGCATAAGCAATGCCTTAAATAACTCCTTTGACTGTAAAGCAGAACCTTGATATAGAAGACTTGCCATCAGAACGCACTTTCAAATGCTGAATTAGCAATTTAGTCCACACAGGATGTGAATGTACACAGTTCTTGCTTTCAACGAGCACCGCTTTAACATTTCCTTCATTTGAGTCGCACGGCTTTAACGATGTGCACTCTCAAGAGGTTGCGATTAGTGCGGCTTCAACGGGCGAGTGTGGTGGTGCTGGTTGTCATTTCATCATTGATTGAATTGTGCTTACTTGTTCTTGACGCCCGAGGCCTCTGTGTAACCATGACTCCACACAGCAGGCCCACCAGACGCCTCACTCGATGAAAAGGTCGGAGGTGGATCAATACGGAAGCAGCGAATATTGCTGAAAAACAAGAAAACGCAAACAAGGTCAAATTCACCGCACTGTTTTGGGGGCAAAAAGAAACGAAAACCACTTGAAGTATTTCTAACAGCCATACGTGAAATAAAATACTAAACATGCATCATGTGGTAAGTCAGATTCCCTGTATGCAAAGTACAAATTGAAGCCACATTAACGGGACTATGATGGCGCATATAAAACAAAAAAAACCCTGCAGGACTAAATCCCCCCCCCCCCCCAAAAAAAAAAACCAAAGAAACA